GTCGTGGGGGGGGGGGTGAGTGTGTAAACAAGCTGGCTTGGCAGCAATGACTCGGTGTTTCAAGGTGTGCCAGCAGCCCATGTGCAATACAAGCACAAAAAACTGGGGAGAGGTATCAGTGGACGCGACAACGCACCAGCCCCGTGCCCGGTGCGGCACCTGGGCTTTGGGATCTGCTGGATCGGCCCCGCCCCGCACCCCCCCTCCTTCGCGCTCGTTCTGCAAAGCCAGCTGGCCACACTCCCTTCAATTGCTTCTGCCCTGGTAAAGGCTGCCCGGCTCTCACGGGCACGATACGCCTACTTCCTGGAGCAAACCCGGCCCAAACCGTGCCGTCTACAGAATAGGCCCCGGCCGCCTGCGCTAACCCAAATTCACACGCACCTCCCGGCGGAAGGCAGCCTTGCCCTCGGGGCCGGGCTGCACCCGTATCTTGTGCACGCGGCCGCCGGCGTTGACCGCCATGACCGGCGTGGCCGGCGCCAGCCCAGGGTCGGGCGCGAGCTGCTCTCGCCAGTCGCCGTAGCCGGCGCCGCAGAAGCGGCACTCGACCTCCTCCGGGCGCCCCGCCTGCTGCAGCTGCCACCGCGCGAGGCAGCGCGGGTGCGCGGCGCGCGGGCAGGCGCAGGGGTGCGCGGGGATGCCTTCGGAGCTGAGGCAGATCCAGCAGGGCGGCGCGGTGCCGCCGTCTGATGACGTCAGACCTGGCAGCGGATGGGCGGGCATTGGCGACGCGCGCATGGCGACCTGCGATGCGGCCGCCGGTGGAAGTTTTAGGGCTTTCAAGGGCACAGGTGGGTGCGGCGAGATGCATATGGCTCCATGCGGCGCATGGGAGGGCGGGCGGCGCCAGCATATCCTGCGCGGTGACCCGCCGAGAGCTCGCTCGACACTGCTATGACGCGATGAATGTGAGGGGTGTGCGTTGCGTGTGCGCCCTCCTATTGTCATGATATATGGGACACGTCACGATTCGCTTAGGCGCGGGTGAGAGAGCGCCGATGACGCGTGAACGCACCGTGACAGAAAGCTGTCATGGCCATGCGCGCGGCGTGCGGGTTTATCACGACCCAGTCGCACCTGGGGAGTTTCAAATTTCAGTCGTGCTTAATCTCACCGGCCGGCTTCTTGGGGGCCAGGGGGCACTGTAAGATCTGAATTCAGCCCAAGGCTTAGGACGCGTGAATATCAGAACGTTATATTGCAGCCCGGAAGCATTGAAAATCAACTGTGGCAGAAGACACGCCCCGCTGCCCTACTCATAGGCTTTTGGCCTTTCCGTAACGGGTGCCCCCATGTGCCTGCAGCGGCCAGGCTGCCCGGCACTGAGAAGTTGCGGGACTTGGCCCATGCTGCAGGACATCAGCAGGGGTTAAGCCTGACTGTAGCTCCAAAAAGTTGTAGCTTGCGGCACCCTGCGCGTCATGCTGCCGCGCGCTCTTCCCTGGCCACGTCACTCGGTCACCGCGTTACATTGGCCGAGACGCCATGGATGACGTTCCTGCCTGACGCGCAGCCGCAGCGAAACGACGTGCGAAATCACCCAAATGAAAGGCGTTGGAAGCTTTAGGCGCACAAAGACGCTGAAGCTCGAGCACGACCTCCCTGTGCAGATCCCTGCGACCTGTTTGAGCAGCTGCGAGGTGCCTTGGGCGACGCAGCCGTGGCCGCAATCTTCACGCCGGCAGGGCTGCTGTTGCTGTTCACCAAGGTTTAAACAACGCAATCATCTGATTTTTGGATATCGTTTGGCTTTCGCAACTACGGTGGCACGCAGGAAAGGACAGGTGGCCCTTCAGTGTATGACTCACGCATCCCGCTCCCCAAACATCGCCCTGCTCCTCACTGTGGGGCTGGCACACCGAGTCCAACAGGTGAACTCGCGCGTGTTGCAGGCGGCGACGCCAACAGAGGTGGACCACAAGTGAATGGCTCTTGCTTGTACGGCTGGATAGAGTCTGGCGAGCTCAAGGCGGCAGTTGCTTGTGTCGCGCATCCCAAACGCTTGGTTCCGGCCACGGACTGCTTTAGTCATGAGTCATCGGTTTTACACCAGGGTTGGGCGGGCAGGGGGTCCCGCAGGGCTGTAACCCCTGCACGTGCTGCTGCAGTAAATGATGCATGCGTGGCAGCGCAGGGCGTGGATTCCTCACGAAAAAACAACTGTATGGCTCTCACCCAAGAGGTCTTGGAATGGCGCTGCCAAATGCAGCTCAGCCACACAAACAAGGCTGAGCTGAGCCCAAGTGATTTGGTGTCGGTTTTAAGACAAGGAATATGTGAGGAATATGATGGTGCATCGCCGCTTTTGCTGCTCGTGCACCCCTTCCAGAGTTGGCAAGTGGTGTGTTGATGGAGCGCTCTGGATTTTGGACGCCCATCATTCCACACAGCGCGCAGCCCATTGATTTGCAGGGTAGAGGCACAATCCCCAGTGCGACAGCACTCTAAAAGGATTTGCACGCACGTACAAACATAATGCTGATGTTGCTAGGTTGCTGCGCGCTCGCGTGGTGGGCTGTTGCTGCAGCACGATCGGGGGCGGCGGCGCTACATTGCGACAGAGAGACGACCACAAAGTACACTGGCAGGTAAAGCAGGCGCCGAAGCAGCAGCACGTGGACAGCGTTGCCAGCTCACAGGTACAGTACACCTGGGCGTGGATACTGGCCAGCAGGTACATACAAAGTCCCCCCCAAAAAAAGTCGCGCTGCTGTTGCTGCAAACGCTGCAGGCGTGCCTCTCTTCAACCCGCAAGACAGCTGGTGCCACGCAAGTCTGGCGGCGAGCAGGCCCCCTTACTTGGTGCCCCGCCGGCGACTTTTCTGCCGCTGCTGCTTTTCGCAGGGCCATGTGCTGCTGTGCCTGAGCGGCCGCAGCCGCGCCCTGGCCGTTGCTGTCCTCCCTCGCCACAGAGTCGACAGTACCGGTCGCCATTTGCAAAGCTGCAAAGCTGCATCAATGTTCGCAGCAGCGGAGGGATCCATCGATGCTGCTTGCATGATGGCCGCATGTCATGATCGGCACGGACCGAGGTTATGTGGGGCCGTACCTCAGACTGGGCATTGCGGCTGCGACCGGTTTCTATGCTGCTTTCCTGTGCTCCTCAAGGCCCCACAGGTGGCTATAGGTGCCAATGATAGTGGGTAAAGCCGATTTCCTGCAAAAAGAATCAATTTGTTCCGCATGATTGTGGCATTTGCGGTTCGACGCTGAAAGTGCCTCCGCGTAAGTGGTGCGGTCGTCAACAGCGCGAGCGTGCCTCGTGCTGTCGCGCCGCTGTGCTGTGCGTGGACGATGAGTTTCAAAAAGGAAGCCAACTGGGCTCAACAAACGTAACACCGGCTATATCAATCCACTCCTAGCCGCTTGTGAAGGATCTTGCGCCGCGGCCGACCCAGCGCACGCGCCTGCGCTTCGCCCTCCTCCGCCTCCACCTCGTACCCCATGCGTCCATACAGTGCCACAGCCGCCGCGTTGTCGGCTACCACATGCACGTACAGGTGACGCACGCCCGCCTGCGCCGCGTGCGCCTCAGCTGCCGACATGAGGGCGGCGGCGACGCCGCGGCGGCGCGCGGCAGCCGCGACGCAGACGTTTGACAGGTAGGCGCGTTCAGCAGCCACGGCTCCGCCCTGCAGGCAGTGCCGGTTCGCGGGAACGGGCAGATTCAGAGGGAAGCCTTCATGCATTCAAGACCGATGCAAACCCCTGCTTCTGCATGATGCCCCCGCGACCCTGTCCGAGCAGGCGCCTCCCATCACAAGGCCCCCTGCTGCTAGCCCGCTTCACAACCTTTGGAAGCTGCCCAACAAGCTCCTCCGCAGGCAGGACTGTTCCGATGTTCAAGTCTAGGCTGCCCACTACAAGGCTCGCGCCGCCTCTGCTGCCACTGCTACTGCTGCTGCTGCTGCTGCTGCTGCTGCTGCTGCTGCTGCTGCTGCTGCTGCTGCTGCTGCTGCTGTTGCTGCTGATTCCGCTGCTGTCACCGCGGCTGCCGCCGCCACTGCCACCGCCGCCGCCGCCGCTGCTGCTGCTGCTGGTGTCTGCTGGAAGCTTTGTCGACAAGTCCATGTCCTTGCACACCTGGGCGACATGGCAAATGTTGCGTTTGTCAGGTATGCAGATGGACGCAGGTTTGGACGACACGTCCCTGTCCACAATGTACCTCTGCAGCCGTTCTAAAAAGGTTGGGGGTGTGAACATTGCATTTTGGCGTGTGCTGGCTTGCGCAAGTCCCACCTGCTGTGCAATTGTGTCATTTGAATCGTCTGGGATGGTGGCCACAATGCAGGTGACTCGCACATGTTTGTATGCCTCGTCGGTGCCTGTACGATTGTGGGAGCTGGGGCAGTGACTGTTCTATAGGCCGAATCCCACCCCCACTACGATCCCAACATCGACCCACACAAGGTGCGCTCCCACCCCCACCCGGCAGTGATCCTTGTTGTGCATGCCGCACCGCTCTTCTCACTGACAGAGACTCTAGTCGTGGCATCCTTTGAGCGCGCGGGTGTGGAGACGAGCACAATTCCAGCCCATCACGCCCCCCACCTGCAACCTTGGATGTGATTGTCTCCCACTCTGCATCCCCCTTCATCCGTCGGTGCGCCTGTCGGGGCAAGCGGTGGCAGCTTGCTCTGCGCAGGCAACCCCAGCAAGCAACGAGGCTTGTGCGGGCCGAACTGGTGGATCCATAGGGCAGACCCATCGGCTGAGCTGATAATTCCCCCTTTCAAACTGTTGCGCACCCGTGCCGCGAACTCGCTGCGGTCGGGCGGAAAGGTGAAAAAGCTGTACGCCCTTAGGTAACCTGCCGCCCTGAACTCGGCCGGGCTCGAGGCGACACCGACCCACAGGGACGGCAAAGCGGCCTAGTGGATATGTTGCGGCAGGTGGTAAGGTGCAGGATTGGAGCCCGTCGGCGTTGACAGGGTGTGCGCGCATTCAGCGCGCTCTGTTGAGCCGGGCGCCAGGCAGTGGGCGCGCCCGAGTGTCTCACCTGAGCAGCCACATTCAATTGTGCCACGACGCATCGATGCACCAAGCGCCGCCTCCCAGCGCAACTTACAACACGTGTTGCGTTGAACGGAGTTGCAACAGGCCGGTGAGGCCTGCGCAATTGCAGGGAATTCATCCAAGCTGGCGTATTTTGCATACGGTATTCCAAGGAGAATAATGTGGTGATCAATCAATGTGGCATCGTGCAATTTGATCGTGCCCGATCCGATACAATAAACACCCGCCGTCGTGATCTGGTCAGTGTTGCGCTGTATGTTCAGACCTGCGTGCGCATCCTCACATCATTGTGCTACAAAGAACCGTTTCAGCACCCGTGGCCTGCTTGCAGCGAAGTTGACAGCAGGGCAGTGCGCTCTGACCAGGGACGGCCGCGCTCGTCGACACCCCGCAAAAGCAGGCAGCAGCAGCAGCAGCAGCAGCAGCAGCGGAAACATCGGCCGCCTAGCCATGTCGACTGGTTCGCAGGAGCTGACGCGCCACCTGCTGGAGCTGCAGCAGCAGCAGTTGGACGCCATTGGCTGCGGCGACTACGACGCCTATGCGACGATGTGCCACCCCAGCCTGACCTGCTTTGAGCCGGAGGCCAAGGGGAACCTTGTGGAGGGCATGGTGGGTGCATATACAGGCCGTGTTGGGGGTGATGTTTTCGTAGCTCGTGGGCCACGTATGAAGCCTCCCACCCCAGGCACAGGTTGAAATGGATGGGGTTGCTTGGCATGAGGTGCTCACAAGCGCTGCAATGGTCCACCCATGTATTGCCCAAAATCACCCACAGGACTTCCACGCCACCTACTTCAAGCACAAGGCGACCGGCAGCAGCCAGACGCTGCGCAACACTATCTCCAGCCCCAAGGCACGACACGCAACGCATGATTGCAGCTGGCCAGGCTACTACTGCGGTTCACCAGGCCGCACGCCACCCTGCTGCAAGGGAGCACTTGCGCCATCGCCAAGTCCATAATTCTTGCGACAGATGTGCAATTAAAGGTTCTCGCATGGGCCCCTGGCCAGCGGCGTGCCCCTTGACCCCTGCCCCCTCTCGTGCCGCCGCGACACAGGTGCAGCTGCTCGGCGGCGAGGACAGCGCAGTGGCTGCTGTCGTCAGCTACGTGCGGCTGGTTCAGGTGCTTGATGCCAGTGGCAAGCACGCCACAACCGCGACGCAGGTGCGCAGGCGGGCCGATGCGGGACCCTGCTTGGGGTGGCCTGTTTGATGGGTGGGATGGTAGTTCCTGGGTCCTGCCTTGGGTGGGCCGCGTGCGTCCAGCGGTGTGCCCTACCACGCGTGTGTCATGCATGCATTGGTGCAGCACGGTGTGTTTGAATCCTCTCGCCCGGTATGCCGTGGCTGGGCGGGAGCGCAGGAGACGCGCGTCTGGGAGCGCGTCAAGGAGCCGTGGAGCGGCCAGCCCTGGGGCGAGTGGGTCAACGTTCACCGTGAGTGGCAGGAGGGTCTGGAAGAAAGACGGCAGGGGGTAGTCAGCTTGCAGATTGCTGCTTGTGTGCGCCGGCACAAAACGGACGCCTCTTGACAGGCGCCATCTCGCCTCTCGCAACACCTGAGCTGACCCTGCGCTGCCGTGTCATCCTTCTGCTCGCAGTGCACCGCAGCCCCGCAGCCTAACCTGCATCTGCTACAAGATGAGCCTTTGGTGTGAGAGGCTAGGATATTGTAATGTGGACATGATCGCATGTGAGGAAGGCGGCCAGGGTGGGGGCAGCCTGAACATTGAACAAGTATGAAGGAGCCGTGACCATGCGGACCAACGAATTATGATAAAGGAGTTTGCTTGTGATGAAAAAGAGCCAGGCAAAGGGGGGGGGGGAAGATTGCACGAGGCCTGATTGAGGAGATGCTTGGGTGAAGCAAAGCAGGCACTGCATGCACGCGTTTTCGCGCCATCCAGCAGGATGCAGCCACTTCTGCTTTTCATCACTGACCAGCAAAACCGCGCCGTCACCTTCCGGCCAGTGAAAGTGTTATGCAGGTGAGGTTGCAGCACCACTTATGCGACCAGTAAAGTACTCACAACCCGAGCTGACAGCGCGATCGGCCACTGTCAGATCATCCCCAACTTGAAGTTCGAAAGTGCGTCCCGATACTATGCTACTTTCCGGGACAGCAAAGGGATCGTGCATACCCTCCGCATATCCGCGCTACTGTCCCCCTCGCCTCTCTGTGCATCGACTTCAATCGCCCTGTGCGCCCCGGCGGTTCAGCCGCTTTGCGGCACGTCGACAGCAGCGGACCGTCGCGGCAGCCGCGGGGCACATTTGCGTTGTGGGCGGCGGCGTTGTGGGCTTGACGACGGCGCTGAGGCTGCTGCAGGAGATCCCGGGCTGCTGCGTGCAGGTCTACGCGGAGGCCTGGGGCACCGACCTCGTCAGCGCTGGTGCTGCAGGGTGAGTTCCTGGGGCCGCCGGGTTGATGCTGACTGCATCGGCATACCACGCCCGTCTGCAGCTACGTACGATTACATGCTGACTTTCCTGTATCCGCGCCCCTCAGGTTTTGGGAGCCCTACAAGCTGAGCGAGACGCCGGACGAGAGTGTCTACAGGTGTCCGAGCATGGACTGAAGCGCGTAGCAGAGCAAGAAGCTGTGATGATGGGACAGTGCCTCCCGGCACTCGCCCAGCCGTCTGGCCCCTGGCACCCCTCGTTCTCCCCACCTCCACGCGTGTAGCACTTTCGTATGTGTACTGTGTGGCTCGCAGGCATTACTAACAATGCGCTGATGCCGACAACGCCACACGCGCCAACGGCACCAACACACGCATTCCCATGCACGCACACACACCCCAGGTGGGGCAAGGACACCTTTGACCACATTCAGGGCCTGGTCCACTCCAGCGCAGCCGCCACCGCCGGCGTCAGCACCGTGCACGCCACGAGCCTGTTCCGCGGCCCAGAGCCCACCCCTTTCTGGGCCGACATCACCGGCGGCTTCTGCCGGCTTAAGCCAGAGGAGCTGAGGCTGTATTCGGGCAGCCCCGACTGGGCAGACCCCTTTGTCACTGAGGCAGGCGGCGCGGCGGCAGCTGGGGCGCCGCAGGCGTGGGTGGACGGTTATGCGTTCAACAGCCTCTTGTGTGAGGGCAGGTGCGCATGCAGGGGGGCCAGCGGCCATCTTGAGATGGCAAAACCCATGCGGCTCTATCAAGGGCCGCAGATGCATGTTTGAGCCTGTGGCTGAGGCTTTGCTTGGCAATTGGTGATGCAAATTCATGGTTGATCTAGCAGGTGCCACATTGCGCCATCCTAATCCCCCTCGGCACCCCCACTGCTCCTGTCACTCTGCCCTTGGGCTGCCCCTGGCTCTCCCCCCCCCCCCCAGGCTGTACATGCGGTGGCTGGTAGAGCGCATCAAGGAAGCTGGCGGGCAGCTGGACCAGCGGGGCCTGAACGGCCTGGGTGACCTGGCTGAGGAGGGGTACGACGCGTTGGTGGTGTGCTGCGGCCTGGGGGCCAAGCAGCTGCTGGGGGACGACGACTGCTACCCCATCAGGGGGCAGGTGGGCGGAGGGTGCTCGGACAGGGTGTGCGACGGGCAGGAGTGCGGAGGCTGTGGCGGGTGTGCTCACAAATTGCATGTGCGTGCGTGCGTGTGTGTGTGTGTGTGTGTGTGTGTATGTTTGTGCGCGTGTGCGCCTGCGCACGCTCACATGCTTAGATGTGTGCGCATGCTTGTACCTGTGTGTGCCATGCAGATTGGAGGAATGAAACTGCTGCGTTTGTTTAGTATGCATGCAGGTACAACGCAAGAGCGACATTGTGGCTGCCGGGGTTGGGTGACACTCAGTACTGGCGCCCCCTTGCTGCCGCGAAAACCCCGTCCTCACATACCCAGATCGCACGCGTGCGGGCGCCTTGGGTGCGCGAGTGCGTGTTTGGCCACTGGGGGGACGAGGTGACCTACATCATCCCCAACAGGGAGTGGGTGGTGATTGGCGGCACTGGCCAGGTCGGGGACTGGCGCACCTCGACAGACCTGGGGGATGCGGAGGCCATCATGCAGCGGGCACGCCAGGTGAGGGCGCCATCCCGCGGCGGGCTCACCCGGCAGGGGATCCTGGTCGGGCGCAGCCGGGTGCGGGTGCGGCCCGCGCGCCCGGCGGGCGCTCACGGCGAGCGGGGGAGGGGGGGCGCCAATTGGTGGCTGCATGGGAGTCGATGGCACTCACCCTTCCCGATGAGCCTGGCGGCCTGACGTTGTGCGACTTGCTACACGCCGCACGCGCACGCGGCTTGGATTGCAACGCACAGCTGCTGCCCAGCCTGGAGGGCGCAGAGCTGCTGGATCATTGGGTGGGGCTGCGGCCGGGCAGGTGGGCGATTGGGGGGTTTGAAGGGCGGGCAGGGTGAGAGGCTGGGGAAGGGCTTCAGTGGAAGCCGGCCAGCAGGTGAATGCTGCACTCCCTGGTTGCAGCTGCAAGAAACCGCGGACACACAGTATTAAATTTGGTGCTCATTGACAAGCAACACAATGCAACATTTGCACCCACTTGCGCGGTGACAAACACGCACACGCACCACAATTGCAGGACGCAGCTGCGCCTGGAGCTGGAGTGGACCAAGCTCGAGCCCGGCGGCGCGACCGCCAGCAGCGACGGCGAAGGCGCCAACGGCGACGGCGTCAACGACGACGGCGCTGACGGCGGCGGCGGCAGCGCCAAGCGTGGCGCGACGCCTGTTGTTTACAACTATGGCCACGGCGGGGCGGGCCTCACGCTCGCCTGGGGAACGGCCGGCGACGCGGTTCAACTGGTGAAGCAGGCGTTGGGGGCATGAGGTGGTGGGCAGGGCCGCAGAGCTCGCGGAACGTAGCGTGATTACACCATGCAGTCCTAGGGGGGAAGGGCGCGTGTGAGGTCAGAGAGTTGGCTGGGGAGGGGCAGCCAGAAGAGGGTGCCCTTGACTGCCTTTGTGAACGCAACCTTTGTGAGCGTTGCTTCTCGTTGAAACCATCAGCTTTTAAGCCCAAATCTGGCTCAATTGTCAAGTAGGTGTTTGCAGTGTGCGTGCAGCGTGACGTTTTCAGGGGTTTGGTACTGCAACTCAAGCACGGGGAACGAGCCGCTTGCGTCATCCCATCCATCACCCCTCATACCGTGCCAACAAGTGACAACAGTGCCCTACATACACCACATTGTCACGAGCTGTGCAGCGCAAGCTCTTTCACCTCACACTTGTGGACTTATGGGAGATGATGCCAAAACCCATGTGCTATACGCTCGCAGGCATACTGCACAGAGCACACACCGCTCGCCTGCAACCGCTTGGGGACCAACGCAGCGTATGCGCATGCGCGAACACATGCTGAACTGCATGCGACTGAAAATGCGGGTAAAGTGATGGTGAATGACAACACATCTGTGAGAACGGACTTATCATACCCCGTTGGAAAGCAGGGAGTGTTTCATCAGTCCCTGGTCACAGTTGGCAGCCCTAGGTAGCCGGTCCGTGCAGGGTGACATGCAAGAGTTTGCGGCCGCTATGCACTCGGAGGATGAAAATATAACAACCACCATACAATTTACGAATCCCCTCGCTTGATCTCTGCGCCAAGTCAGCCGATGCACCCATCAGACCGCGGCACCAGGGCTTGTAATTGATGTGCAAACGAGCGGCCTAATATTGTGACATTTTGCCCAGCACTGGGGGCTGCAGCGGCAGCGGGCGTGTTGCTTGCAGGACGCAGCAGCAAGCACGACTGCGCGCTCCCGCTGCTGCGCTGGTGGGCACGCTCGAGGCTGCAGCAGCATGTGCTCATTCCCTGCATGGCGGGGTCAGTTGTCCTTTTTCATTTCGCGAAATTGTGCGCCAGGTCCTCAGTCGCTTCAGCACCCCTGCATTACGCAGGCACACGGAGCGGGGGGCGGCCTGCACCCTCAGGCCGCCGCCGGCCCAGACCCCGTGGCGGTGCTCACCTCGTGCGGCGCGGCAACATCGGCCGCCTCATCACGGATAAAACAGTGCCGCCACCGACGCACAACACGAACCCCGCACCCTTGACGTGCGCTGTTGCTGGCAGTTGGCGCTCCGGCGGGCGGCGCAGGGGCCACACGTAAGGACAGCAGCGACAGCAGCGGCAGCGGCAGCGGCAGCAGCCATGGCGCCACCCGTCGGCAAGAACAAGGTCAAGGCGATCACCCAGCACAAGGGGGTGTTGCCCCACCACCGCTCGCACCCGCGCGGCAAGGCGGCCGACACAAGCGCCGGGCTCACGTTTAGGTTTGAGGACCCCCTGCAGCTGCCCAAGCAGAACTTCAACGTCCTGTACGTCCAGACGCCCCGCATCGGCCTGCTGCAGGCGCCCTTTTTCCGCGCGTTTGCGGAGACCTGCCAGGAGACCGCCGATATGGTGAAGCCCATGCTCAGGCTGGGCATACGTGAGACTTCGCTCTTCGACAAGTGCCCCTACTACGAGTGAGGGGCGCACCGCCGCGGGGCGCTCTGCCTCTGGGCAGTTTGCTGCGGGACGCTCTGCCCGGGGTCGCCTTGCTGGGATGTGTTGCCGCACAGTGGCAAGCCGACGCGTTGATTCCATCAGGAGCTGAACGGGCCCGAACCCTCTTTTGCGAGCCTCCACCACGCTCAGCCAACAGTCCGACAGCAAGGCAGCGCAAGCTTTTGCACTAGGCCAGTTTCGTCCGCCCACATGCCTCTGAATGTGCTGCCCACCATCCTCCTACTGGTCCCTGCCCGCAGTCCCAACTTTTCGCGGGGTCCCAGCGGCAGCCTGATCATGCTGCGCCACACGCGCGAGCTGGTGAACTCCATCCGAGACGGCTGCATACACCAGAAGTGAGGGGGCACGCGAGTTGAGGTGCTGCCCTGCGCCCGTTTCCAGCATGGCTGGTGCCAGCCACGAGCTGCATAGTGGCACCAGCAGCTGTCAAGATTGCCACACGCCCACGTACCGTCTTTCACCTGTCCTTGCGCGCATTTGCACTCACGAGCATGGCCATGTGCGCACACGCACGCATTTGCTCACCACACACACTCACACACGCACACACACAAACACACACACATACAACACACACGCAAAATCAGGTGCGAGAAGCCCATTCCCAAGGCGCGTGTCTATATCAAGGACTTTCCCAACGCGACCACGGTGCTGCTGCTCAACCTCGGGGCCTACTACCTCATCACCCGCCAGGCCAACCGCCTGCGTGGCGTGTGAGCGCCCTGTCGCATGTGTGTGCAGACAGGTAGCGCAGGCACGGCGGGCGATGGCAGCTCACGCGATGGCTGTCATGCGCCACTGGCCGACCGCCTGGCAGTGCGCTGCCCTGATCCTCTAGACATAGCATGAGCAGGGGCAGCGGAAAATGATGTCATTGAGCCATACGTGACTGTTGGCATTAGGCCTTCATCCGCTTATACGCATGTCCACGTGATCGCCTGCTCAGGGCTCATCGAGCGGCTGAGTTTTCAGCATGCTCAGCTGCCAGAGCTCAATGACCATGTATTGTTCCCTCTAACGTTTCAGCACAGCTTCTGTTTTCACTGGTTCTTTTATTTCGTTGATGCTAGTTGTGGTCATGAGTTTTCGACCAACCCACCACAGTAACTGTCTTGACAGTTTGAGTTTCTCAACAGCAAGGGGATGTCCAGAATTTATGCCTGCAGCGTGATGCGTGGGGCCCAACCGGAGGCACAAACAGGTTGCGTGGAGCGTTCAATTGGGTCGGGCAGGGTCCAAGATGCTTTGGCAGCCCGCGCCGTCGTGCACGTGGGGGAGAAGGGGACGTCGCGGTGATTCTCGCCAGGTGACCAGGTCCGGCGATATGAGGAGGAGTTGTGGGCATCACCGTATCACCTGATGGCTGATTAGGCCAATTCCTGGCGCTTCTCCTGAGCTTCAGCTGGTGAGGGAGTGACATCAGTGACAACGTCGATGACTCGGTCTGCCGGTACGTGAGGCCATGTGTACCTCACGAACTCCTTATGCGTGTTCATTGATTTTCTGACATACGCCTCGACTGGATCGTCGTATCGTGGCGGGCATGACTGATGTCACCCGTCACCTGAGCGCGGCGCCGTTTGAACTTAAGCCCCCCCGCCCAAGGGCAGAGGGCGGTCAGTTCATTCCGGACGGCCGCAGTGCGGTTTCCGGCATGCTTCCGCAACTGTCGTAACACTATCACATGCCTTTACCCTAGAATACACATTTAGAGCGCGTCCGCCCCTGCCAGGCCAGCCCCAGCACTTGACACCGGTAAAGTAACCCAAAAGCCACCCTCGTCGCCGTGCCAGGCAGCTACAGACCCCTAAAGGCCTCAGGGAACGGGCTCGGCACAATCACACTTTGGGTGCCACGGGCCAGCAGGCGCGGTACCCAGAAACTTGGTGGAGTCGGAGAGAACGGACTTAAATGCATCTTGAGCCCGTCCCCCGGCCCAATCAGCGCACAAACGCTGCGAGCGCCTCTAGAACATCATAGCCCGCGCCCTGCAAGAGCGCAGCAAGCCCTTATCGGACACTTGGTCCTCTCAGTCCTCTCAGTCCTCTCAGTGTGTCCACTCGGAGAGACTCCGGGCCAGGCCCCAGCGGAATCTTTTCGGGCGCCCTCGCTCGTGCTCGCGGCCTTTTTTACCCGCATAGTAAGCTTTATAATAATTACATCAGCTGCTTGTTTTTGCGGCGCTGCAGGCATGACAATTAGGTCCTTGTTTTGAGGCACACGCACGCACCTGTGGTCCTATGCCGCCGACGCACAAGACACGCGAGTGCCGCTGCAGGTGCAGGCGTAGGAAGACGGGCCTAAGCAAACACTGAGAGCCCCCCGTCACAGACGCCGTTTTACTGCGTTATAGGATGATCGGAAAAGGCGGTCCCTGACCACACGGGAGGCTGGCAGCCAGGCTTCAGGACAACTTGTGACATTACAGCTCTCCGTGGTCTTGCAGTTGTGTACTCTGTTGACGTGGGGACATTTATGCATGGACCCATGTGGGCGCCCAGCTTCGCATGGTCAGCCTGCGCTGAGCCCCACACAGCTGTTGGCACGGCCTTCATTCACTTCATCAAAATAATGTATTTAGGACAGTATACTTCATCAAACTTGTTCACCATCAGTGGCAAAACACCTCGACTCAAGCAGGCATTTTGCTGAACGCAGCCACTTCCCCCGCTTTGGGGCATGCAGGTCCAAGCGAGAGCAGGTCACCGCGCCGGCTGAACCCTGTTAGGTAGGCCTCGCGACAATTTGGCCGGCCTTTGAGCAGCTGGCTCCGAGGGCCGTCTCGGCCAACTCTTTCCGTTTGCTACTGTCCCTGAAGTAAGCTGAGAGGCCCCTGGCTTGCTGTTTGGCAACAGCAGACTGGGTGCCAGGCGGTGGCGCGTCGCTGCTGATGCCGCCCTTCGACGTGAGGCAGGCCTCACTTGTGCTTCACTGGTGGGATTCCACTCTTGCTAGGTTCGCACATCCGTACTGTACCATATGTCGCAAGCACCCAAATTCAAGGAGGTGTCCCCTGCTCATATCTTTGTACGCATGGCACCCTGCTGCCAGCCTTTGCCCAAGCACTCAGCCGGACGCTCCGCTGCTCCATGTCAAACGTACGTGTATCTGGCCCACTCCTGCTCACCACTGTCCTCTGCAGGCACCAAACACACCCCAGGAGTAGCCAATCGCAGTAAGTAGGGGGTTGGCTGCTGCCGCATGGATTCGTTTGTTGTAAACCATCATCGTGGACGCGAATCTGGCCGTTGTATCGTAAATCAAAAGGAGCATGTGCAGCTCGTTCAGCATCGATACTACAGTCGATAGACTGGGATTAATGCTGCCTGCCCAAGTTCCACATGCACACTCTGCGTGGTTGCAGATGACCACAGTGGTCGACGGCAGGCGGTTTGCGCCTGACGCACCCGCTTCGTCATTGCTGGAGGCTCTGACGGGTAGTGGTGCTGGCTCCTTGCGGGACGCTGACGGTCTGGAATACGTGGGTCCTCAGCTTGTGCCTGCAGGCATATTCACACTTGTGTCCCCCCCGCAAGGTACGACTCAGCCTGGTGTCGGCATTTGCAAGGGGGTGTGGCAGTTGGCAGCTCTAGGCTCCCAACATGCATGCTTAGCTGCCCAATGCATGGGTCGGCACGCGCATCGCGCACAGCGCACATCAGGCGCCTGGTGTGCAAATGTGCCAATAGCTGCTTTGGTTTATTTCTTACAGCTATGCTGAAGAATTGTTTGTCTAACCACCATATGCAGTTGCCCACATGCTGTCGTACGCTCGAGTGAAGCTTGCTTTACTCATGCTCCTTCACCCCCCTGCCCCCCGGACATCCTGTTTTCTTGCCGTTCTCATGTGACGCCGCGGGTCGTACACCACCCTGTGCCTTGCTGCTGTCCAGGCCCGGGACCGGCAGCATCAGGTGGGTGTGCATCTTTCACTCGTGATTAAGCTGGTCGGGGCTTGGGCTTCATAGGGTTAGCCACAGCGGATGTGGTTGGGCAGGATGGATGGGGGCAGTGGTTAGTGGTCTAGACCTACTCCGTGCTTGCACCTTGCAAGCACGGAGTGGGAGTGGCAACGACGAGGTGTGCGCCGCAGTGATGCATGCCGACACCGCATCACACGACAATCGCGGATATTGTTTGGTTTCAGCTCACAACAACACAGGAGTTCTTGCGGAAGCTGTCCAGAGGGCTCTTGAAAACCGAGCGTTTCATAATTATGCATTGCCCTTTTGCAGGTCAACTGCTTCCTGTGGGCCCGTTCCAATCTGAAGAAGACTGGTACATGCTGTTTTTCGTCTTGGAGCGCCCCATCGCTGACCTGGAGCACGTTCCCCGGCTGCTTGTCTCCAAGAACATCAGTTCGCCCAAGCAGCTGCTTGACATGGGCATATCTGGGGTGGCTGAGCTGCTCGGCTGCACAATTGAGACGGCAACAAGGGTGTACAAGCGATGCACCTTCTATTCCCGTGAGTTCTAATGTTGCATGCGGCTTCGGCTCTGTATACCTCCTGCTGTGTCCGACTGTGTCCTGCTGTGACAACTTGCTAAGAGACCAATGCATGGCTGCTGCTGCTGCTTGCGGTCCTGCTCCCCCTGTCGCAATTGTGGCTGCCATGCTTGATTTTAGGGCTGCCCTCCCTCAAGGTGACAATTTGGTACAGTTTTTGTTTCCCCTGCGTCTACCTGCAGTGGGAACCACCACGCGCAAGGGCGTCTTGGACACTGTTTTGGACGCCCTGCCAGTCAGCATAAATTCCGGCAGCAGCAGCCACCGGGACAAGAAGGGGTGGGCGCATCCTCGGACTGTGCAGCCATGGGATTCGTGCGAAGACGTGGGTAACATGGTGCAGATGGGATGTGCCGCACTGCGCATGGAATAACACGCACGCTTGGACGTATACGCTGGTGTGCTCATACAGCTGCACATGCACGCTTGCATTAAAACAGCAGATGGGGCCCCTTGAGGGTTGCGGCTTATGAGGCTGTGTTCAATGTGCCTGATATAATCTACGCCAACAGGACATCCGTGGCTACATTGCTGGCCTGGAGGCCACCCCGGCAATTTTTCCTGCAGCGGTCCCCTTGTCTGACAAGGTGGGGCGGGCAAGGCGCTGCCACCCGAGGCATGCATGACGCGCGCAAGTTGCCTGCCACATGCCTGTTGTACACCACCTAGCGAGACTTGTGCGTCGTGTCTGCGAGCATGCTTAACTGGATTTGGTCGAGGCATTCGTTACCAACTTTCTTGCCACTGTGCTTGGGTCACAATTGGTTACTAATTGCGCCAGCACGGGTGTTTTGCTTTGCTTGCGCGCGTCCGCAGGGAGCTGCTGGCGAGGCGGCTGTGCAGCGGGCCATCTACATTGGTGTCGTTATCCCTGTGAACAGGCTGCTGCGATATGACGCCTTCAAGAAGGGCCTGCCAGTGGCGGAGTGCTTCCAGCTGCAGGAAAAACTACGCACTACCCTCACGGACAGCCAGGTGCGTGCTGGACTGAGCCACAAGGCCCAGAGACCTCAACCAATTGGCTTTGCACGCATCCAATGCCGTTCGACATGATGCGAGGTGCAAGCTCAGGCATGTCCTGCTCTGCTCTGATCATACCCTCGCAGCAAAAGGCAGCAGAGCAGCGCGCTGCGACCGACGAGCTGCATGCAGACAAGCTTGTGGACCGCGTAGCGCAGCTGGCTGTGGACAACAGCCTCGACGTGCTGGATGTGGCGCTGGCACCTACGGGCGGACATGAGCGCGGCGCAATCAGCGTGGGGGAGCTGAAGCGATTGTGAGTGGACAGGGGAGCCTTGATGTTTGGGCTGGTCTGCATCTTCTAAGTGTTGTGCATGCTGGCGCTATGCTGTGACTCCGTGGCACGTCCAAAGAAGCCGGAAGCCCGTCAGTTGCCGCTCGTCCTCGTGTCGCAGCGTCGCCTGTTTGAATTTGTTCTGACCACAATCTTGCTGCCCTGCCTTGGCGCAGGGAGCGAATGGTCTGCTTCAGCGATGACTCCTTTGACCCCAGGTGTCTGCAGGGCGAGCGCCTCGAGCTGCGCGGTCAGGACGACGAGGTGCTGCGTGTTGTGGACGCCCCGGCCCTGCCCTTCATCTGGAACCACCCCGAGCTGCGCCAGGTGGATAGAGCCAACGCCGCCATCTCGGCCAACGTGACGGGCCTCATGGCTCAGGTGCGCCATTGTCCGCGTGCGTAGAGAGCTGTGCTGTTCCACTACACGCTGATTTGCAAACGTGGCGTTACGTGTCTACACTCCGTACTCGCCCGGCTTTGCACGTATCCCTCGTCGTCGTCAAATCCAGTTCCACCTCCAGGTCCACCACAACGTATCCTTCACCTTAGCACGCACCAACATGCCTGCAAGCCGCAGCTTGCCCGGTACTGTGGCTGGCGGGGCATCAAGTTTGCATGGGCCAGCACCTACATGTACTCGTGGGCCGTCAAGATGGAGGGAGCCGATTTCTCTGTCTCACGCGCGTTTCGCTACAACTCCACCGACCCAGGGGTCTTGGCGGTGCGTTTATGAGCTCAACTGCCGTGAGGGTATGGGTATCATATGGCTCAAATGCACTCTCATACTGCGGCAGATTGCTGCCATTTCAGGTTGTTGCTAAGTTCTTGTCTTGTGCAGCCATACCCTGATGTCGGGAGGTGCTGTCCCGTCTAACCATTTCTTGCCCGTTGCACCCCCTTATTATTGCAACCCGCCTTGCTTACGGCATGCAGATGGTCTATGGCATATGCCGGATGGCTCTCGACGAGGTTGACACTATGTCGCCATGGACGCCTGCAGCAGCCTTGCCAAGCGCAGCTGCAGGGGATGGCGGCAGCAGCAGCGGTACCCGTGGGCAGGGGCGCAACAGCAGCGCAGGGGGGGCCAGGGGCGGCAGAGACAGCACCACCGAAGGAGGAAACAGCACCGGAGGCGGCAGGAGCGCGGGGAATGGCAGTGGTGCTGGCGGCAGCGGCAGCAGGGAAAGAGGGTACGGCAGCACTGGGGGAGGCAGCACCACCTGTGGAGGCGGCAGCACCTGGGGGGGCGGCAGCAGCGTAGGCGGCGGCAGCGGCGCAGTGGGTGGCGGCAGCGTGGCGGACTCAGGCACCGGCCCCCCACCTGGGCTGCGCGTGGACACCATTGGTGCTGGCATTACCACAAGCGCTGCCCAGCGCAGCAAGCATGCCTCCACAGCTGCACACTTTGCTCTTGCTGCCGATGATGATTACCCAGCGGACCAGCAAGTCCAGCAGCTGCCGCTGGCGCCAATCACGGCGGCAGTCGACGAGCTCGAGGCGGCAGCTGCATTGGTGGACCTCGAGCAGGTGGTCGACGTGGTCGGCACGGGCATGTCGGGGCTGGTCTTCAGCTACAGGTAAGAGCTGCGACGTCGCGTCCCACCATTACTGCACGCATAATGGTGGATGCAGTGGCATTTTGATTGGATTGCATTGGATTGCACTGCGTTTTGTATCTCTCACATCGCGACTGGTCATGTTCTACTAAGTACAAATGCCTTCGAGGAAGAGGGTTCCCAGGGACCACTGCTGCATTTGTGTGGTCTGTGGGCATGCTCAAGCTGGTGCGACGCATCGGCCGTGCCTGATTTGTTCCCCCCTCCCCGCTGTGGCTGCTACCTTGTCGACCGTTCAATGCAGGCAGCCAAGCGGGAGGCTCCTGGCCCTGAAGGTGTCCCCGCTGGGCTCAGCCAAAGCGGCCGCGCTCTTGCACGAGGCCCGGGCCTTGGTAGCTCTGCGGGCGCACTGGGACACCTTTGTGCCACGCCTGGTTGCAGCAGGGGCGGAGAGCAGCGGCAACGGCTTTGTGACGGCCACCTGCTACATCCAGGGTCGCTATGTTGACCCGGCGCGAGATCAGCACCTTGTGCCGCAGCTCGAGCGCGCCCTGGCGGCCGCGCATGCCTGCGGGGTGGCCCATGGGGACCTGCGTCAGAGCAACGTGCTGGTGCAGCAGGAGCCCGGCGGCGGGCAGCGCGCATGGCTCATCGACTGGGGCAACGCGGTGCTGTCTGCTTCGCAGCAGGATATGGACGAGGATAGGATGATTTTGAGTGGCATGTTCAGGAGCACAGCTGCACATTCGTAGTGGCTGGCGGCAGGCAACACATAGGTCAAAAGCCACCGTGTCTTGTGCGTCGCGTTGAGAAGGGGCCCGCAGCGGCGTCAGCAATCATGTTTTTTCATAATGGGGTAGGCTGTACTTATCTCCAATGCACCGGTTTCCGACCCTTCAAATACTTGCTAATTATCATTATCATTGTTAGCGTCTAAATCAGTGAGACCAGCAATTGAACCAATTTTTACTCTTTGTTATATATGCTAGCCTGTGTAAAGATTGACCAACTCCAGGTATTGTTTTATGTGCAAAGGGTGATGAAATAGTCATGTCAGCCACAGACAGCTGCAGTGTTTGCGGAAACGCGTGCCTGCGTTTTGCTATACACAAAGCGGCGCTTGGCGGGCACCTTCTCGGCTTAGAATGCGCACTCACGTTCTCAAGACCGCATGCCAGCCCTTGCCCCCCAATTGATTCCCCACACAAGCAGCCCGCAATGGTGGACAGCAAGCTGTGGCAAGGTGCACATGCGGCATGCGCGGTCGTGGACGACACCTCACCTCCCTCTGCATGCAGCTGCACGCGCCGATGTGTGCTCCAATGGTTTCTCCCATCTCATGTATGGTTCAGGCAGCCGTGGCATCGATGCCCTTGGAAGCGGCAGCAGTTTGGAGCGAAAACGCTGGGGTATGAGTTGTTTCATTGTTGCTGCATGACAAATAGGTGTGGGCGCAGTATGAGCAGCGCTGCATACTGACCAGGTTGAAATAATGTGCTATAGCTATCAAGCACAATAAAAGAGCATCGCTCTTGATCCCTGCTGGGCGCGCCTGACTGAGCGGCAACTCGAACATGTGACAACTGATAGTGAGGGAGGGGGGGTGACGACATCAGTGACGATGACCTGGTGTGCCTGCATGCGAGGTCAGCCATATCCCACAACGATTGATGCATTTCTACATTCACTTCAACGCGCATCAACTAGATCGTATTGTGGCGGATCGTGATCCGCCATGGACGCCTTTCAGCAGCGTGTGGCTCAAGTTTTTGCTGCTCTCGAGCAGGGTCCTCCGGTAGCAGCCTCTGCTGGTGTGGGGGCAGCGGCAGCGATGCCGCACCAGCGGGCGCAGCAGCAGCAGCAAAGCGTGGCCGGCATCGCGCAGACGGGGGGCTGGCAGCTAGACGTTGACCAGGGGTTCAAGGCCGGGCGCAGCGCGGACGAGAGCGATGAGGAGGGCGAGGGCGTCCCGCAGTCGCTGCCAGGCGCCGCTGGCTCTGATGACGAGGAGGAGCGCGAATATGAGCGCAACGCATCGGCGGCGTTTTGCAGGTGTGCTGCTTGCCGCTGCCAGCCCACCCAGCGGCGCCGTTTGGAGTTTGCACCCCTGATTCCAATCGGCTGCCATGGCTGCTGCAGCGCGTGCTGTCTGTGGGCGCTGACTTGCTCTGACCGTGCACACCTGGAAGTCCTCACGCATGCTGTGCACGCTTCGAAATGGCTTCCCTTGAACTCACACACGACGCACCTGAACACACCTTTCCTTGTGCAAAACTGCACGCTTATTGCACACAAACACCCATGAGTGCACGTTAACGCTCCCGACACCCCCAGGGCATTTGAGCGAGAGGCAGAGGAGGACGAGTTCGACACAATGGCAGTGGAAGGAATGGGCATGCGGGCCCCCAGCGGCGCTGCCGCCGCAATGCCGGCGCTCTCGACAGAGGTGAGCTCTGCAGGAATCAAGCTGGGGGGCCGGGCCTTTGAGGCCGCCGTCTGTGCACGCCGTGCATGCAGGCGTCTTTTGTGCGCATGGCGTTTGCAATGGCAGGCTTCTGCACACGCAGCTGCTGGTCACGGACCTGTGCCGGCTCGCAGGGGCTCACAGTCATCGCAAGCACCAGCTGACCAAAAGTCCCGCCAATTTTTGCCGCCGTCACCCGTCAGGTGCTGGATGACAACCCCTTTGACCGGCTGACGTCGCTCAGGCGGCCCCAGGCGCAGGAAACGGCTGCGGGCGCGGGCGCGGGCGCGGATGCGGGCGTCGGCGCAGCGCCCGCCGCGCCGCCTAGCGCCACGCGTCATCATGGGGGCGGCGGCGGCGGCGGCGGCGGGCCTGATGCGATGGAAGCAGATGGCGAAGGGCGGGAGGGCGATGCCAGGTCGCGGCCGCAGCCGCCGGAGATAAATGCGGCCGGCCCCTCCGGGCGCGCCTTGGCAACCGCCGTGCCCGAGCCGGCGCCGGCGCGCGGCGGCCGGAGAGTGACATTCGACCTGCCATCCCCCATCTCCAACGGCGGCGGCGGCGGCGGCAGGGGCCCGGACGCCGGCGGCGGCAGGGGCAGGGGTGCCGGGGGCGGCCACGGCGGCGGGGGCGGAGGCGGCGGCCGAGGGGGCAGGGGCGGGCGGCGCGTGCCAGATCACGTGGCGCATCCCGAGAAGTACACCGTGTACGTGCTGGATGAGCCGGTGTTCGTGGGGCAGGGCGACAAGGGGCGCGGCGGTCGCGAGGACGCAGACAACGAGCGGGTGGGTCGAGGGCGGCGTAATACCTGGCGGGGGTTGGCCTGCTAGGGGCCGGGTAGCGGCTTTGTCGGAGAGGAAAGGGGAGGGCGTGGCAACATAGTTTGCCTTGTTCTGTTGGAGGGCTGGGTGGCTGGCTGCCCCCCAGCTTCCTGCGGGTAAGGTATTCACTCGCCCCACGCCCACCGCCCCCGGCATCCTTCTCCCACACGTGCCCAACCACGCAGGCAGCGCGCAGCGCGCAGCAGGCAGCGGCGGCCAGCGACGGCCCGAGCGAGCACGACCCTGAGCGCTTCCGCGGCGATTTCGGGGCTGGCGGCTTCAAATTCCAGCCCTCAGGTGCGCTCTCACACGTTGGCCGTGCGCATGTGAATCGTGCACTTGAGGGGATGTCGGCAACAGCCTCCACCCACATGCTTTGGATTGTGCGGCCCCAGCAGCCGAGAAACACGCAGATGCTAATCGCCCAGACCGTCGACGCCCTGCAATTCCACCCTGCAGTCAAGCGGCAGCGCAGCGGGAAGCCAGAAGGCGGTGGCGATGGCTACGTGGCCGGAGCGGTGGCTGCGGCGGCTGCAGCGGCGGCGAGCAGGGGGGCGTATGCTGAAGAGGACCCGGCTGATGCGCAAGCAGAAGTGACGACCCTAGGGGCTGCGACGAACGGCAGCTCAGCGGCGACCCAGCCTGTGGCCACTGCAGCAGCGGGGCAAGCGGGCAAGGCAGTGCCCTCTGCGATGGAGGTCGACGAAAGCGCCAGTGGGGACGGCGCGCAAGAAACGCCGCCTGATGCGGCAGATGGCGGCAGTGGCGCCCTGGCTGTTGCGGCGGCGGGCAGCAAGGGCGGTCGCCGGCGCAACTACCGGACAGCGAAGGCGGCAAGTGGCGCGGAATGACCTGTGTTTGCCCCTCCATGCATTTGGAGCCACAGCGGATATCTTGACACCACAGCGGACTGTGTTGTCAAGTCGCTTGATGGCCGCTGACTTGTAAGCGTGTCAGGTTGACTGGCCCCCCCTGAGTACGGTTCACGCGCTGCCATGTGCTTCTGGTGCTACGCCATCCTGAGTTACTTGGCGCGCTGTGCCGCATGGGCATAAGGAGGTGTTGGGGCTGGGCGGCTCGCAGGCCCCTAGAAGAAGCCTTTTAGCGCAGCGGTCAACGCAGACGTTGATGACGAGCAAAGCAAACCAATGACCTAGTCCTAAGCAAAGCATTGGCCAACACCTGCTGGCGATAAATATATCAGCTAATAAACCCACCCGCTGACTTGTACAATCCAAGAAGCCTGCAGGAACCCAATCTGATTGTGGGCGTCCTGGAAGTGGGCCAGGTCTGCATTGGAAATACGGCACACACAAAGGCATCCCATGGAAGGCTACGTAGGCAATATAGGACCTTGATTCTGGAATCTGATATGGGTGGTAGGAACGAGGGTTGGCCTTCACCAACCAGGCAAAAATACGCCCTGATTGCCCTGCCTGGGCCTTATGCAAGGCTCTCGTGCGTCTCGATGCCCGCCAAGCTGCACGCGTGCTCCCAGAGGTCCCTGCAGCGCCGCTCGTCGCGTGCGAAGCCGCTGGCCAGCCAGACGCGCCCATTGCTGAGGTAGCGCCCCGCCACCCGCGAGGCGGGCGCGTGGCAGGCCACCATCATGTCTTCGGCCGACGCCTCCGGCCTGCAGACGGTGCGCGGGCCGGGGTTTTGAGGGGTTTTATGCACAAAGAACATTGATGCACAAACGGGAGCAGTGAGGCAGGGAAAGGGATGGGTGGGAGATGGGATGCGTACAATCACTGCATCGTGTGCTGCCTAGCGAGCATGCATAACGCAGGGTGCACGTGCAGATTACAGCCGTAGGAAGCCATGCACGTGGCGGCTGGCGACGATGCGGCGTACCGCACCTGCGGAGCACCAGCGGGAACAGCCGCTGCATTGCCGCCTGCGCGGCCGCCGCGGCCCAGGGCAGCGCCGTGCCGCCCGTCTGCTCGAAGAAACCTGTGGCCAGCGCGGTGTTCACAATCCCAGGGTGCACGCTGACGGCGCTGTCGCAGTCCCCATAGCGGGCAGCATTCCTGCGCCGGGTAGGAGCCGACAGGGCAAGGACTGGGCCGGGCGATAGTATGCACGAGCGCTTGGTGTCCCCAGCTGATGCTTGTTGCTGGTGCAATGCAGCTGCAGCCGGGTGTGCAGGCTCCTTCCGCACCTTTAGTTGCGGCTTTATCTCCCTAAAACCCGCAGGCGGCGGCTGCTCGCGGGACGGCGTCAAGGACCGCGCGCAGGCTTTTTGTGATGCAGGGGCTAGGGCCGTACCTGGCAAAGCGCCGTTGGAACTCGAATGCGGACATGGTGTTGGCCAGCTTTGAGAAGGCGTAGGATGTGAAGGGCGAGTAGGAGCGGAGGGACTGCGGCGGGCGGGGCGAGGGGCGGCAGCAGCATGCCCGTTGGAACCGGTCATCACGGGGCGAGGCGGCGCCCGCAAAGTTGGATGGGACAAGTCTGAAACCAGTGCATGGGCAGTCTGGGCCTACGGGGATGACAGGGTGCGCGACCACTTGCCAAGTGTTGAGGGACGTGACTGCGCGCCGAAGCGTGCCGGTGCCGCGCCCAGCGCCGCACCTGCTTGTCTTCCCACTGCACGGGGCCGGCGTAGTGCGTCAGCGACGACAGCAGCACCAGCCGCGTGCCGCTCGGCGGACCCTCCGACAGCGCTCGTCCTCGGACCTGCCCCCGCGCGCGCTGCTGCGTGCGGCGGCGGCGCTGCCGCTGCTCCGCCAGGAGCTCGTGCGAGAGCAAAAAGTGGCTGAGGAAGTTGACCTGCAGGGGGAGGGGACAAGGAGGCAGTGGCCATAATAGACTAGATGGGCACAGCGGAGCAAAAGTCATGAGGCGTGGTGCACGCACCACGGATCCAGGGACAAGGCCTGGGGCAGAGGGGGGGCGCAATAAGGGGTGGTGCGCACACACGACGCCATGTGCTGAATGGCTGTGGCACGGGAGCCTTCTGGACCTCAAAGGGTCAATTGTGTGAGCGGCACCTTGTTTGTGCGTGGGCAAGCAGCGAAGCATGCTGCGGCGTGAGGCGGGGGGCGGCTTGCCCACCTGGAACTGCATTTCGAGGCCGTCGCTGGTGACCAGGCGCTTAGGAGGCGACATGATGCCTGCAAGGCACGCATGGCGCGGGCCGCATGGATGGCACGATAACGCGGACGCCGCGCGAAAAGCTTGCGGGTGGGCACACGGTTGGGCCGCCTGCAGGGCTGCAGCAGCTCCGCGCTGCCCCCTGACTAACAGGCTTCCCCGCCATGTCGCAGCCCGCATGCGCCCCACCAGTCCAATCAGTCGCTCGTCGGCCCGCCCTGCCCGGCCGCGCACGCACGCACGCACACACCCGCGTTGCAGACCAGCAGGTCCAGGGGCCGGCCGCTTCGGTTGAAGTCGCGCGCAAACTTGCGCACGCTGGCCAGGCTGCCCAGGTCGAGCTGTCGGTACTCAACCTTGGGGGCCGCACACCCCGGCAGCGGCTGCACGCGCGACAGCTCCTGGCGTGGGGCGAGGGAGGCGGGGGCGGGTGCGGCGGACTGCGGGTTTGGCGGAGCCAGCGCGCAGGCGCCGCATACGGACTGCGCATTTGGTTGCGTCAGCATGGATGCGAATGCTCAGTCATGTGCCCACCGCATGACGTGTCGCCATGTGGCAAAGTTTAGAACACTGCTGTCCCCATGCATACGTCGCAGCGCGAGGGCCTTCCCCCTAGGTCCAGCGCCCCA